GCAGACATGGTCAGGAGGCTTGCTTCAAAAGCATGCTTTTGAGCCAGCATCAAACACAGTGGAGTTATGCCCACAGAGTCTCAGTTCCCTGCTCCGGAATAAAGGGATTCATAGAAGTATAGCATAATTTAGGTCGGACAAGACCTCTAAGATCATCAAGTCCAACTGTTAACCCAGTACTGCCAAGTCCACTACTAAGCTGTGTCCCTAAGCACCACATCTACACACCTTTAACTCCAGGGAATGCCCCTTCAGGGAACTCATATCGAGCTAACTCAAATATCTCACAGCCTTCCTTCACACTTGGGTTAGTACACATTTTGTTTGACCCTATGAATTCAGGTGCCTTTCCCCTAGTCATTTCCATTGGAAATTACTGACTTCCCTCTTTCCACTAGAGGTTTTAAAAAGATTTTGTAGGAAAAACATTTTTTATTACTTGTTGAATCAGAGCACTGGGATCTGTTTTCTTTTTACTGGTCAGTTGCAGCCTTTCTAAATTTTCGTTTTGTAATGTGGTAAATTCTGCAAAAATTGATTTTTTTTGTTTTATTCAGTTATTCACATTAACAGACATCTTTCCTGTCTGTTTAGTGGAAAAGGTGAAACAGGAAAACCAAAATTTCAAAATTTTGTGTCACATGTTGATGGCAGTTTATGATCTTGGTCAGCGTAGAGGTCTAATGTCATACCCAGCATGGTTTTACCCTTGTCCTGGGTTGTTTTTAGACATGAACATGCAGTGACTGAGGAAGTAGTGGTTTCTGTTTGTGTGCTCTGGGGAGGAGAGTTCATTTGTTTAATCAAAGAGAGAAAAAAGCACCTCTTTTATACAAAGTATAGCTGATTTCACTTTCAGGGGAAGCAATAAGGCGAACTTTTGCCTGTGACTTCTATGTAACTAACTACCAAATGAGCTTTCATGTTGAATCCTTCCTGAGATTTGCCAGAGGGAACCACACCAAAGTTTTGCACAGAGCCAGAGGGTTGTGCTCTTCCTCTGGCCCCATTGTCTGCAGCTTCTCACCGTTGTGCTTCTTCCCTTTCCCAGCCCAACACAAACAGCTTTTGGCGAGCATATTTATGCATCTGTCTGCTCTGACCCATCCAAGCACAAAGCCATTCCCCTCTTTCCTCCATGTTAGACAAGCTCATTATTGTTCAGGTCTGAGGCGGCAAAGGATGACAGAAGCAAAACAGTACAAGTTTTGTATAATTTGGTTTTTATCTGCTGCTGTGGGGGCCATGGCCCTTGTATAGTGGCACTTTGTTCACCCTTCTTCCTTTGCAGAGACTTCCAGGGAGGAGGGAAAATGCTGCGGGTGCCTGGGCACTTGGAGAGACAGCAACAGAAGTGCATTTTTGGTTCCTTTGCTGGACAGACTCTTAAGGTCCTACTGCTTCTAAAGCAAAAATAAAGACATATAAATCTGCTGTTTTCCAAACAGCAATTAGCAGATCCTGCCCAAGAGAGGAAATATTCACAGTTCTCATTGTCACTCTGGTAACTGAATGCTGCTATTTTAGCACTTGCATCCCGCATTTTACTTGTTGAATTTGTAGAGATAGTTTCCTGCTGTCGGGATGGAATATCCAAATTACCACTGATGGGAGCGCTTCTCACTGCCCCAAGATAGCGCCTGTGGGAGAACCTCAGCATTGCCTGCAAATCCCTGGTCTGCTCCCCTCCTCACCACTGCTGCCTCCTGACACCTTCTTGACATGGAAAGCTACACCACAGGCACATGGGTTACATGGCCATCCCTTTGCTTGCTGATACTGTCCTTGCAGTCTGTGAGGCTGTGCAGGGCCAGTTGGAGCGTGGCAGAGTGGCTGGAGCTGTCACTGTGAAGGCTTTTGATGTGCTTTACTTCAAACAATAGCTGTGTGTCTGCATTATATTTTCCTTATTATTACAATCAAGGATGTTTATTCTGTATTCATAGCTGTATTTATTCTTTATGAAGTGCAGGAATAAGTTTTCCCGGTTGCTAAAACACAGTTTTTCCTATCTAGAACCGCAGCTGTTTTACTCCCAAATTTGGGTTTCAATTTTTTTCTTTTTCTTAAAAAGCTTCAAAGCATGTATACTTATTGTAGTTAGGTGCAAAGTTCACATATTAAAAAAAGGGGAAGGAATTGGGAAGGAGAAATACTCAGTCCTAGGACCTCTTTCTCTATACCCATTCTGTCTAATATGAATACAGAAATTCTTCTGTATGCAAGCAAGTTCTAAAGCATGCTAAACAGTTTGTCTTCATTGTTATGTTTGTCTTCATATGTTCTTGCGTTGTTGTATTGTCATCAGGATACTGTTGTCTATGTATTACTTACCCAGATACTACATTATATATAAGTTACTAAAAATATGCTACAAAAGTGTAGGCTTCATGAGCTCCTACTTAAAGCCAAAAGAGAGAGATTTGCAGATGTAAATTTACAGATGAGAAATTGTATTTTTTGGAGGAGGATGATTGCTTCTTTAATTGCCTGTCTGATATCCTCCTTGGAAGATAAGTGTTTTTGGTATCAGCTTTGTGGTCTGTATCCTTTTAGCTTAATATCTGTCATAAAATTACGTAGCTGTTATTGGTGCAGGTAAAATTGAGCTTGCATTCAACTCCCCGGGAGGGTGTTGTGAATGGGAAACTGTTGTGTATACATAATCCCATTAGTCAATATTGTTGTTCAGAATCCTTTTTTTTCCCTCTCTCCTCTCACAACAAAGCTCTTAGGTCTGCGGTGAAGTGTTTTGTGACACATTTTTGAATGGGCCTTTTGCCCTGCTTTCAGTTCTTTAATGCAAGAAGCTTTACCAGGAAACAAAAATTTCTTTCTTCTCTGTCTGTGTTTTTTCAGCTTGGGGCTGTGATGCTGAATATGCAGACAGACACAGGAGTCAGATGATCTAAGATGTGTGATATTATGAGGTTATCCATTTCACATGATTAGTATCTGTATTGGAGTTTCGGTCTGCATTTCATGTCTGTGACATCTAAATATGCCTTGATCCTTTTTAAAAGGTAGATTTTTGTGTGTTTTCACACCCCCACAAGGCTGTTATAAAGTAAATCTTCCTTGCGTTATATTTAGTGGCATCTCTTCAAAGAGGTGATTAGTTTGAAATGAGTATTTCTAAATTAGATTTTATCATTGATAAAAGGCTGTATAAAAATAAAGTCTGATCCTGCAAACACTTGCAAATATGTTCAGTCTTACTTTCCCAGTAACTTGCTGCCTTTGGCTCATAAAGACATTGCCTAACACAGTCAAAATGAGCAGTTTTGTAGTTTCATTTGAGCATGAGCCCCATCAGCTGAGGTTTCTGCAGAAGTGCATCATTAATCATGCAGTTAGTGCCTTTGTTAATATTGCTGAAGTGCGTGAGTTTTTACACGATCAGTTCAATTTATTGGTATAAGTGACTTTTATACATCTGTTAGTCTGGTATATTTTAAAATCTCAGAGAGAATGTGCTTTCAGTGGTCACCTTTGAGATGTTTTTGTAAATGAATGTGTGCATTTAGTTCTTCTAATACTGAAAGGCGCATATTACCTTGGAGAGTACTGGACACAAAATCAGTGAAATATGTGACAAAAAATTATTTTTATCCAAAGTGGTGGCAAAAATGAGCCTTTTTTCAAGGCATTTCATGCTTTATGTTCTCCTTCATATACTTTGTCTTCTAAGGAGGCATGATGAGCTGCTGTCAAAATTTTCTCCCTCTGGTCTTCTGGTTTTTTTGTTGTCCACCTGATGCTTCTTATAGAGCAAAGGTTTTTCTGGCTGGAGGTGCCTCCAGGTGATTTGAGGCAATTTAAAGGGGTTACTGGCCCCAAAGGAGAGGCTGGCTGAAGCAAATACGGTCACAATTCCAAGATTTTATTTCACAACCCGAAGTATCACCTTAAACTGAAATAGCTGCTGGTTTAAGCTAGCACACAGGTCTGCTTCTGCTCTCGTATTACCTCGTGTTTGGGTTTTTCAGCTTTCAGAAATACATGGCTTTTTTGATTGTATGGAGTTGGAGGGCCAGATCCATTTTATCTGTTTTCAGGGACTCAAACATATTTTCTTTTGTTTCTACATATGCACGTGCCTTCAGCAGAACTCAGTAATCATGTTTGAAAGGTAGCATATGCATGCACATCACGCTCCTGGCTTGGGGAAATGGAAGAGCAAACAACAGACACTGTGAGCCATGGCATAGCATTTTTTAAGATTTTTAGTATGTGTTTTCATGACAGTTGAAAGCACTAGCAACCTTTCTAAATCACGTGATCTCCTCTTCATCTTTGTTGCTGAGGAAATTATTCCAGTATCGCCAGCTTCAAAGTCTTGCAGTATATGATAGAGGCTTTTTAAGGTTCATGGGCTGTTGGGATGAGGTGGAGATGCTCAGTCTAATCTCCTTGTATTCTGTCTTTTTTGACAAAGTTCCTAACTTTCAAGATCAAAAAAAGATTTAAAAAGATGTCGTCCTAAAGAGCTGCATTCCAGAAGGCAAAAATAAGACTCTTTAAGGATTCATAGAAATTCATGAATTTTTAATACACTTTAACTTTGTGTTTGTTGTTTAAACAGGTAATACAGAGTCACAGGGCTCTCATGCCTTCTGCTTTCAGAGAATCAGCAATGAGTACTGAGCTCAGCATACGCATGTGCAGAGTCCTGGTGTATCCTATGAGGCTCTCTGAAAAATGCCGAATACCACCATGGAAGTGCCTGTTGCCATGTTGCTTTTAGCATCTGCTGAGGTCCTGCTGGTCCTGGGAAGATGCAACTTCTGAGGCAGATGTGGATACAGTGCAGCTGGGCTGGGGCAGCTCGGTCACCTTGGTACCTAAGCATGTCCCAGGAGCAGGACTGTGTGGAAAAACAAGCCAACACACCCTGATGATCAGAAGTGTGCTTCCTGAGTTTAAAGGAGGAGTGTAGAGAAATGCAAGGGGAACCATACATCCTTCTGGCTGCTTAACTTTGTTCTCACATCTTCCAGCCCTCCAGTAGTATTTGTGGTAAGGGTCTGGGTATGCGGACCTCCTTTGTCCTCTTCTCCCAGAAACTTGTGATACTGAACTCAGTCAGGAGGGACTTCTGACTTTTTAAAAAATTATTATTACTTTTCTTTTTCAGCAAGGCAATTGCCTCCTCTTTCAAAATTGCCTTTCTTCAGTGAATGTGTCCTGGGGGCACCACTGCCTGTCTCAACAACACCAGCCAGCTGCTCTGGGATGTGCTAAATCCCTGACAGGTTGTTAACCTGTCATGAAATGGGGTGTCATCTCCTGCTGGATTGAGACGTTCAAATCCAGCTCAGAGCTTTTTCAAAATTAGCTGGTTTGCAGGAGTACAGGTTTTGTAACAGTGTTTTATGGTCACACCGGCAGCAGTGCCTGCAAGTAGCTCATCACCAGTTCTTGCTGAAACTCGTCCCAACAACAGCTGCTTGCTTGGGTTGTGGTGGCTGTGGGGCTGACAGCTGCCCACAGCCCTGGCTTTGGGGTATGAAGCCAACTGTTCAGTGTCTGATTAAAATACCTGGGTTTGGTTGACTTAACAGTTTTTGACAATAACAGATTTCCTGACACTAGTAAAAGTACCTTGAAAACCAAGGAGTGGCACTGTCAGAATTGTCACAGCACATAATGTTGGGATGGGACAGAGAGCTGCCCCTTGTACCTGTGAGCCTTTTTTTTATGAATTTCTCTCCAGTTGTTGCTCTAGTCTGTGAATTGAAATAAGGTTGTATCTCCTCCCAAATATTCATGAAATTAGGCAATTCCATGGCCAGCTTCCCAGTCCCTGAGTTATCGGCAGTAGTAGCTTGGGAGATCGGTATTACTGAGTTTTCTTTCGGTTTCTGGTTTTTTTATGTATGTATGCCAAATAATTTGCTCATGCAGTCAGAGTTTAGAGTGAAAATTTTCAGCGATCCAGATAAATATTTTTAAAATTAAAGGCTTGGTTCTGTGAAAAGCTTAATGGGTATTTTGTTATGCTCTAGAGTAGTTCACTTGGCTTCCAATGGGAATTAAAAATAAATGCTGGGAATGAAAGTTGTCCCTGCACAGGACTCTGCAGCCCAGTGAAAGATGCTGCTCCAGCTCTCCAGCAAATCTGACAGGGACAGAGTGGAAGGATTGCAAGAGTAAAGAAGGGTAAGACTTTTTTCTCTATCTTTTTCTACGACAGAGGAAAAGAAAGTAGCTCCTGTTCTCCTATATATGTTATGGGGAGAGCAAAGCTTTCAGAGCTGGTTGGGAAGAGGAAGCAGCTGTTTCCTTCCTCCTCTCACTTTACTCTTCACTTCCCTGTCCTCCCCCATTGCTGAGAGGATCTCAAAATTCTGTGAAGATTTAGGCTCAGGACTTGTTTTGTCATGAGATTTGGATTGTGAAACTGGTTGGGGAATACAGCTTCTTGTGATTTTCTTAGGTTTGCGTTAAGTACAGAGCTAGGGGCAACATTCCTGAAGCCTGCCCTGGAGAGGCAGGCTGTTGTGGTGTCATCCTTGTGTTGCCCTGGGAAACTACAATTACATTGACGTAAAAAAGTGTCTCTTGACTGTTCGTGTTTAAGAGTAGGATAGATAATTTGGTGTGCCCTGTTTCAGAGAGTGGGTGCTCTGAGTTGCTCAGATGATTGTGCTCCTTTGATATGAAGACTTGTGGTTTTGGGGTGTGCACACTGTGTGCAAATGAAATTAGGCAGATTGCTCAAACGACCATCAGATAGGTCTTACTCTTTTTTCAAATGCTTGTGGCAAATAATTGGAAGAACTAGATTCAAAATTACTCTTCCTGAGAGAGGTAGGACAGCTCAGGAAATACAATCCTAAAATCTTAGAATGGTCTGGGTTGGAAGGGAACTTAAAGATCATTTTTTCTAGCCCCTCTGCCATGGACAGGGACACCTCTCACTAGACCGAGTAGCTCAGAGCCCCTTCCAACCTGACCTTGAACACTTCCAGGGATGGGGCATCCACAGCTTCTCTGGGCAACCTGTTCCAGGGCCTCACCACCCTCACAGGGAAGAATTTCTTCCTAATATTTAGTCTAAATCTACGGTCTTTCAGTTTAAATATGTTTTTATTTGTTTATCTTTTCAGGATAAATATGTTGGTTTAATGCTTTGTTATAGAATCACACTGTGGCCAGATGGGCAGGAGGAGGGAAACCTTGCCACCTCCAAATGTTTGGACTACTTTGCAAAATACTTTGAGATTAATTTTTTCCCCTTTTCTGTCCTCCCCTGGCTTGCCTGACAGCAGTGGCAGAATACCTCCTGCCCCTCCTTTGGTTACAGCCTGGAAGCAGCTGCTGAAAGAACTTCTAGAGAATAAAATTGAGGGGTAATAGAGGATAGAGAACAGCATGGCCACGCTTCATATGTTATCTGTGATGCCTAACAGCTTCTTTAATAGAAGTTATTTCTTCTCTGCTGTCCTTGTGTTAGCAGGGCACAATCCTACAAGAGTGAAAAATTTGATACGTGAATATTGATGAAATCTGTCATTAATTATTGCCAGAGCAGACTCTGGGAGAATTGGGTTGCATTTTCAGTGGATTTAAATATAACTTTGCTTATGCAATCCTGTTAAACATTGTTGCAGTATGTCACTGAGAAAGGTTATTATATTTGCTATATAAAGATTACGACTTTGGGGGGGGATTAAAGTTTTAGCAGCAGTTGTCGTATTTCTTATGGTCACAACAGCAACCTGTTAAATGTGGAACAGAGGGGGAAAGCTGTGGGTAAGCCAGATTTTCTGTCTGGAAGCACAACCTTTAAAGCTCTTAAGCCAAACCAGAGGAAACCCTGTGAACTTTTTTTTCAGGAACCAAAATTCTTCAGAAAGGTGACATGTTTAAACAGCGGAAAACAGGGTTTTTCTCCTGAGTATGAGTCTTCTATGTCATATGCAGATGAATATATATGCTTGTGCGTATATAAGAAGAAAAAAATTCAAAGTGAAACATGGGCTTCAAGCAAATCAAAATGCTTTGTTCCCCATGAAATCAGAAATTTTTTGATTTTGCTGAGAACAGTGGCAAAAATTAAAAAAAAAAAAAGCTTTTTTTGTTTGGGTTTTTTTTTTTTTTTTTGGTAATTGAGTCAAACCCCTGACCCAAATGACTGCAGACCCCCAGGGCTGTAATCCATGTTCCTGATGGCTGTAGCTGTGTGGCATTTGCAGCCCCTAGAACCATGTTGTGTTCCTTTGTCCTGCTCATTTCTGCAGCAAAAGTCTGAGCTTGATGTAAGAGAAGGCATGTCTGCCTTTGCTCACAGCTTTGGTGTGCTGGGGTATGGCCAGGGGGCTGATGTCCAGACACTGCTCTGCAATGTATTTTATTCACACCAAGCAGTGCTTGTTTCAACAAGTCATTTGCTGACCTGAGTTACAGCAATGTCTGCAGATCAATAGCTCTAATTAGACACTAGGCACCTGGTGTACCAGTGATTAAAAATAAGAAACATTATGACTAGCTATTGTACAACTTCCTTGAAACCACTGTATAATAATGGTACATTTGCCATCAGATTAGGTCATGAGGCAGCTTTACTGCAGCTTGGAAAATTAGGATCAAAAATAGTCCTCTGATTAAAACTTGAGCTTTTGAAAGCTCTTCAGAGAAGAAAGATCTACAAATGCAGATGTATGGGAGAAATTAAGCAATCTGGATATGCATGATTGTTGAATTTAAAGAGAGTAATTGATGTAACCACTGTGCTAACTCATTTCTCTCAGGCACACTGTTTTAACAAAACTAAATGAACTATCAGAATGATATGGGAATAAGTTGCTTAAAATACAGTCCATAATAGCTCAGTGTATTAATGTAGTGAACTTATGAGTTTCCATGGTCATGCAGTTGTTCTGCTTGTACCAATGTCAGCCTGCAATAGCAGTTGTCTTGATTTAGATTTATGAATTTCTCCCACATTTAAAAAAATATTCATCACGTATTTATCAGCAGTAAAATAATCTCTTTGAAACAACATTTGCTTTCTGATATCATCAGGGATTGGTCTCTTCCTCCTTTGCCCTTTCCTGCAGCAGCATAATTCCCTCAACCTCAGGGCATCCTGCAAGTCCCTTATGTCCTGTCAGGCCATTTTTATACACCAGGAAAAAAAGAATGTTTCAGCTGATAAAAAGAAATTATTAGGTTCCAAATCCTGAATGTGATCAGTATTGGTCACAGGCCTGTTTGGAATCTGTATCTGTTGAGCTTGAAGGAGTCCAGTCTATACCTGTTCCCTGTGACTGTTTTAGATGCCTGCTGGCTGACTGAGTTGAAGGAGAGACCTGTAGCTGCAGTGGAGAAAGACTTGGAGTCAGAGAGCAGCTATGGGAGCATCCTTCAGGGATGCAGGAACAGTTAGTCTATTCCTGTGATTTGAGGATTGTTTTGGGCTGATCCCATCGAGGACAGCAAATCTTTTGCTCCCTCACAAAACCCAATAAAAGCTGATCACTAATCATTTGTGTGCTTGTTAGTGGGATCGATTCCCTTAATTGGCCAGCTGCTGGAGACCTTCTGCTGCTGTGATGCAGGGGGTGGTAGATGGCTGAAGCAGCACGGTGCCTTTTGGTCACAGCATAAGCTTATTAGTATAAATGAGGCTGTTTTAAACCAATTTGAAGCCACAGTTTGCAGGAGGTCTATTCAGGGGCTGACCTTTACTTCATTTAATCTCATTTTGATGTCAGGATGTTCTGTAGGTCTCTGAAGGTTAAGTTGTCGACAAGGACAATTTCTCTGCACATGAAGCCTTCAGTTATGGGCTATTCTGCATGTAAGGCACCAGAGTTTGGTAAATCTTGATGGTGTTCACTTTTTAAAATGTCATAGCCATTTTAGACAAAATTCAGTATTGTGTTGATTGGCATCTGTTTAACTGATGTCTGTTTATACCTGGCCTAAGCTTGTTTTTGTGTATTAAAAATGATGCTGGGTTGAAGTAGGTCTTGACTGTTGTCTATGATGTGGACTTGATTTATGGTACT